TTGAGACTATACTTTAGTGTTTTATCTTTTCTTGAATTCAAAAGAATTCGTCTCTTTATCAATCCACCAGACCCTGTAGAGTTACTCAACTTCTTGACCAAGTTAAAAAAAACATTCACAGCGAGTATCGTAAACAGAAAGACTCAGATATCTGTTTCTTAAACAAATGAGCATTTATCTTAGTTTTAGTCTACTTAGGTTTGGTGCTACTGAAAGTCCATTACATATTGAATTTATACAAAAAGACAAATTTGAGTAAAAAACTGTATTGAAGCAAAGAAACAAACATCCCATTTAATTTCTTTGCCTGATAAAAGACATGGCTCAAAAGGTTACTGGTTAGATCAAAATTTGAACAAGCTATACAACTGATTGATGAGCTTCATAAAAAAAGTGCGCATCTAGAAGAAATACAAAGTTTTATGAAAACTATAAAAGATTAAGGCTAAATTATCAAAAAACGCAACACGTGTTATAACACTTGTTACCAAACCACAGGGATTAATTAAAGCAAATAATAACTTTAGTTTAAAGCATAAAAAAAAAAAAGAAAAAAAGTTAAAAGTAAAAAAAATTGCTGTAGAAAGAAAAGAGGAATTTAGGCATAAAATGTTCAATGTAATTGTGGGTACATAAAATGTAAAGAGGGCCTCCGTAAAGTTAGTACGCAGTAAAAATACTGTTGTTGGACCCCTCCTCACTCTTGTATGCATCTGCATGCATTTAACCCTCTCCTTTTGCGTAAGTACGCATTATTTATTACAAAATCAACCAAATTTTACTTAATGCATTAGTTTTTCAAAATATTAAAAAAAAACTTTTAGTTGACTTGATATATCTTTGTTACATAAATCCAGCCCAAATGCTACTTCTTTGTGCTGTTCGTAATCTCTCTTATCCAATGTTTGCAAAGAATTGTTTGTGCCCTCTATTATTCCTTTAAGCTATGCATAGCTTAAAAAAACAATTTAAACTTTTGTTTAATTTTTTATAACTACCTTTTTTATAAAAATGGTTGCTGAACCAAACATCAAACAAAGTTCCACAAATTAACTCACAAATTTCAGCAAGCAGTTTACGTCGACCTGGAAGTAGCACAATAGCATGTAAGGCATTTACTGCTCTAGAGTTCCATCTAGTACTGATTATGCTATGTAATATCTTAAAAATAATAAAGGAAAATACACCATGTTCTTAATAATATTGGAATCTATTTCATAAAAAAAACTGTACATTATAGCGCCATCCGATGTTGTTAACTTATACCACTTTGTAAAAAGTCATCTTTTAGATTTGCATAAAATCTAAAAGTTTAATATACAAAGTCATAAGATACATAAGATAATAATGTCTTTACAACATGAGTTTGATTACTTGAATGCTTTGAATGCTTTAAGTCTAAATCCAATACATTATATTGACATCCTGTATACTGTTTGAAAATAAAAAAAGATTCCTTTTCTATTAGAACAAGTACAATATTAGAACAACAATAACTATTAGAACAATTTATAAATTTCTGTTAGATCATAATAGTTCCATTTCTTTACTCATAATAGTTCCATTTCTTGTTGACACTTGTGGTATAACAGGTCACCCAGTGGGCACAGGACGTAACGAAGGCAACTTTTGAACGTTTTGGACGTCTTTTGAACTTTCAAAAGACGTCTATTTTAGGTCCCGTGCCCACTGGGCAGTGATTCCATTAAGTATTGTAAATGCTTTTGCGTAATTAAGAGTTAGTACCGTTTAGCAAACCTCACAGTGCTGGCTTTTCAGTACATTAACTTACATTTCTTATTTGTTAATTTTTTAATCATCAAAGTGAAGAGCCCAATTTTCATTTTTAAGATGTTTTTCAAATTCACGCTGCATTTTTTCGACTCTTTATTAGGTACTTCATATATTAAAGATTGAGTTGTTGTGGGCAGATGTTTTCAAACTATTTCTGTGGTCAGATGTTTGCAAACTTTTGCTGTGATCAGATGTTTACAAACTTTTGCTGTTTTAGAGAAACTTAAATTAGTATGTTTTACTAAGTGAAATGCAGTTTTAGTTGAATATTGTTTAATCTTTTTTTTATCACAGTATAATCACAGTCATTTGTATCACTGACTGAAGTTTCTGAATGTTGTAATGCATTCAAAAAATTTCAGGTTCTTCATCTTTGTTTGGTGAAAAAAGATTTATATACTACAACTGGAGATATTTCCTTTAATAACTTTTGCATGATGTACTTTTACTTGTATGTCTGTTGCATGCCTACTTCGTGATCTGCATTTTATAAAATTGTTCATTTATTGCCTACCAGATGCCATTTGTTTTTGTAATATCAAAAACATTTGTAAATATAACTTGAGCACATTCCAAGTCTTTTTTTTTTAATTAATCTTCCTAAATATTTATAGTTCTGTCGGGAGCAAAAAATTTGACTTGCTACAAAGTTATTATTTCATAAGCTATTGCCTTAATTCTAAAATTTTTGGATTTTTTATCAAAAAGTGGGTTTTTCCTTTTTTGATTAAAAAATTAAAAAAAATTAAAAAATTAAATAGATAACTAATAGTTTCTAAAGAAATAAAACTTGGTCGTTTTTATAGAGCCAGAGTTCTAACGAAACATTTCAATTGATGAATATAATATTTATTTCTCATCGCGTAGTGCTATGGAAATTTTAAAATTAAAAAAATTTAAAAAAGCCACTAATATCACAATAAATCACTATAACAATATATATGTTAACAATTATGTATAAAAATAATAATTGCTCTCTAATGATATTTAAGTGTCAGTTTTTAGTTTATAAATAGTTTTTCAGATTTTTAGAAAACAACTTTGTTACTCTAAATTATAATCTAAAAAAAACCTTTGAAATTATATATATATATATATATATATATATATATATATATATATACACACACACACACACACACACACACACACACACACACACACACACACACACACACACACACACACACACACACACACACACACACACACACACACACACACACATAAAAAGATAATTTAATAATAATAATTATAATAATACAAATACTCTGGTGCGTTTAAGAGTGCTCAATACTATTAAATAGTAGAGCAATATTTAAAATAAATAAAAATAACTTTTGATGACCAAAGTTTTTTTTTCTTTTTCTTGTAAAAACAAATATGAAGCAGCACTAAAAAGTGGATGATACAAAATCTACTCCCATAAATAGCAGATCAAACAAAAAACACCCCAAAAAATCATATGGTTTAACCCCCCATTATCATATGGTTTAACCCCCCATTTAACAAAAACGTCTCCACAAGTGTCGCAGAAATATTTTTAAAATTACTAGAAAAAAAATACTCTAAAACAGACAAACTTCACAAAACCTTTAACAAAAACACTGTAAAGGTAAGCTACAGCTGCATTGAAAATATTGAACAAAATCTTTAACAAAAACACTGTAAAGGTAAGCTACAGCTGCATTGAAAATATCGAAAAAAACCTTTAACAAAAACACTGTAAAGGTAAGCTACAGCTGCATTGAAAATATCGAAAAAAATCTTTAACAAAAACACTGTAAAGGTAAGCTACAGCTGCATTGAAAATATCGAAAAAAATTTTAATTCTTGAGAAAAATAATTTAAAAAAAAAAAAAATTTTAAAATTTATTTTTCGCAAGAATTAAAAATAATGACCCATAATGCAATTGTTGAAATAATGCAGAATGCCTCCTGAATGGTAGGTACAGATCCACAAACATTATATAAATGCATCGTCTCAGCTGAAAAACAACCCAATAAAGTTTATTTTGGAGGGTGAATGGAAAACCAGATATAACAATCACAAATCATTATTCAGTTCCCCGCCCTATCAAACTACATCTGGGATTTGAAAAATAAACGAAGTCTTTATATTAACATGGTCTACTCTGAAGTCTGTAACCCCAACTCAAATATTTCTAAAAGGTGCTCACTATGTTTATACGAGAAGTTTGCTGTTAAATCGTATAGAAAGCCAGAGGAACTGCTAAATAAAAGAACCAAAATTATATCAAAGCGCCCTCACAAAAATAAATTCTTATTAAAAACTTGCAAATCTTGCTAAAAACCTAACTAACAACCAACAATAACTATATTACTCTACTTTATATATCTCTAAGATAACTAATAAATTACTCACATACACAGCTATTGTAATATATTTCATAATATTATTTATATTTTTATACCGATTTTTAATTTTTAATTTTTTAATACATAAATAATGCACATTATAACAAAAAAAAATTTTAAACAAGCATTAAAACATAACTATTTCACAACTTTTTATTTTATTTTGTTGTTATTTAGGTGCCCCAAGAAGATCTAGTGGTTTTGAATTATATATATAACAATAACATTATAAATAAAAAAACTTATACTAAGACACTTTGGGGGCACCCATAATACGCAATAAAACCACTAATTTAAGGGATAACTAAGTTTATTTTTTCAAACTAATTTACTAATTATAACTTCCTCAGTCTGCATACGTACGCATTATTTATTACAAAATCAACCACCTCCCTTCCCTGACATATAAATTTTTTTTTAAATTAAAAATTTTTTAGTTTATTTGATATTTTTTGGTTACATAGAATAAAAATGATTAATTACCCTTGTGAAGTTTAATGCTTTTGTTGAAAAAAAAGAAATAAAGTTTTAAAAGAGATAAAGAGCGAAACCGCGTTTGTACTAGCTGTCTTTAACAACTCCCTCCCCATGTGCACATTTGTACTAGCTGTCTTTAGCAACTCCCACCCCATGTGCACATTTGTACGTTTTTAGATAATCCTCCCTCACCCATACCTGCGTAAGTACTTTAAAAAAGACCCCTTAGACAAGTGATTAAAGAAATTTCTTAAGATATATAATTCTTAATTAAGAATTATATATCTTAATATATATAATTCTTAAGATAAGAATTATATATCTTAAGATATATCTTAATAAGAAAACTCTTAAGATATAAGTATTTCGCAACAAAAAACTGTATAAAAAATTAATTATTTTTATAACAAAATAAATTCTGATAACAATATTCAATAATTATTCATAGTTTAAAGTTCATTAAAAACAGATTATTAATCGGATATTTTGAAGTCTTAAAACATCCCTTCAGTTCGATATTCTTGAAAATCAAGTCTATGGTTTGACTGTCGAGATGGTATAGACGAGTTAGTAATGGTATCAGCTGTTGATACCGTAATGTTGTCATTAGGAAATGTTGAATTATAATGACTACTTTGTCCTTTTTTGATTTTATGAATGCAAACAACTATGTCCAATAAAATGGCGCAAATTCCTAAAGCACCAAAAATAACTCCTGCGTTCAATAAAGAACACGAAGCGCTTGAGTTTAAAGTTATCAACTCACATTCTTGAACAAATTTTCCTCCTGTTCCAATATCAGGTATATAAAATTGTTCGGTATTGTTTATCGTATCAATTTGAACGGCTATTACTGTGACTGCAATAGATAAAAACAAAGCAAATACAACGTCTGAAATTAAATAAACGTAATACCAAGGTATTAAAAAGTTGTTTGTTACCATAAACAAATTTAGGCAAAACATTACTAAATATGAAATCCAACCAATAGCTGTTACTAACACAAAAAATTGCATCTTGGAAAACTTGAAGTTACTTAGCAAAACAAGATTTATAAAAGACTGCATTATAGCATACGCAATAAGTAGAAAAATTATTTGTATAATCTTCATGACTGCGAGAAAAGAACGCAAGTAGAATGCATCGTACTTCAAACACCAGACCATTATAAACTATTTTTATTTGAATTTACATCGCTACTGTTTATTGTCATGTGAAAGAAAAAAAAAAACAGCAATTTTATATTTACATTTTATATAAAATATTATCTCGATAACTTCGTAACCATTCATAACAAACTCATCAAAATGTGAATGCAACAACTGCCGTTAACGTGAATTCAAAAAACGCCGTTATATTAAAAATACATAAGTTTGATTCATTTGATTTATTATTCCATCATTCTAATACATGCATTAATATATCATTATGGCGCATATATTCATAAATGTATATATATATATATATATATATATATATATATATATATATATATATATATATATATATATATATATATATATATATATATATATATATATATATATATATATATATATATATGTATATATATATATATATATATGTATATATATATATATATATATATATATATATATATATATATATATATATATATATATATATATATATATATAATATATATATATATATATATATATATATATCGAAAATTAAAAGTTTTAGATAGGTCTCAAAGTTCTGTTGAATTAACAAAAGCGAGTTGTGGTAAATATTTTGGAAAAAGAAAATGCGTTATCTTTTTTTACTTAACCACTTTTCTGCTGTGTTTAGTTTTTGCGCATGCTCTAATTCGATATTTTCTAACCGATCAATCCAGTTATGCATGTAGCAACTAATCTGTTTCTTTAAACATGAAATTTCGTGTTTGAAACAAAACTTCTGATATTCGATTATTTTATAACCACGCCACACAACATTAGGTGCTAAATATATATTAAAACAAAGTATAATATATATATATTTATATATATATATATATATATATATATATATATATATATATATATATATATATATATATACATAAAATTTAAAAATTCCAGCTTACATCGAGGTAAGATAATTTTGCGCATTGCATTCATGTTTGATCATTAAAGCGATGGTCATAGTACAAATTTTACTGAAAAAATTTCTTTGGTCATACTAATTACTATTTTTTCACCCAGCAAGATTTTTTCAAAATTTTCAAAAATTACTTTGTTTACTATTAATTAATTCAATATTTTATTAAAAATTTTTCTTATTATTTAAAAAGAATACTAAAAAACACGAAAAAATGTTTCATCGCAAACATCATTGTAGACCAGAGATAGACTGCCAGGTTTGACGTTGTGCCAATTAAATGAAAACTATTGTTATAATAAAAATATTAGTGTAATAATAAAAAAATTTAAAATCCATGCTAAGAATCAAAACTACCGGCACATCTAGTTTCTTTTTCGGAATTAAAACCTGTATACACACGTGTTTGTTGCAAACCAAAAACACGTGAATATTACAGGCAATTTTACTCGAGTTTAACACGTGTTTTTTGAGGTTTTAAAGTCAAATTTAAATGTCGCATGCTTTTATCAGTGGTTTCACATTCCTTACGGAAAGTTATTATAATATAATACTATGTTTCCATAACAGTGAAACCATTAATATTTTACCTGGTATTTATGGTAAATAGTAATATTTAATTTCACGGAATAAAAAGCATTTTTGACACGCGCTATTTTTTTTGTTTTAGAAGGTTTTAAAAATGTAACAGAAACCAAGCGTAACTATTTTCTGAGTTGTGCCGGCTGGAAAAAGACCAAAAAGGGGTATTGCGTAATCCACTTAATATCGATTTTAATAAAAAAGTTTATGCTGAAAAAAAAAATATTGAAAAGTAAAAAAAATTAATTAAACTTGTTAAAATTTAAATTTTAGACAAAAAATTACTTTTTAAATTTTTTTTTTAGTTACTTACCTCCTCACTTCACCTTCAGAATAAATAATAAAAAAAAACCACGAAGGTTCAAACTTAAATTAGAAATAATTTTTTTCCAAATGAAATTGTCTACAATATAGCAAACAGTAAATAATATTGATTGGTATCTTAAATGCCAAAAACTTTGTGTAAACGTCACTTTTATCGTGGTGCTGAAGGTTTTAAAGATAAGAACAATCAAAAGCAAATGATATTTTAGATTCTTCCATCACTGCTAAGTATTTAACAAATACTCTCAAGATACCCTTAACCACTCCTCGTGCCTTATTTTGAGAAAAAAAAAAATTTCCTTCTAAAAATGCATGCAATTATTACGAAAAACAATTTGCTTTCCGAACCTTCAGATTTTTAAAACTGTGTATTCCGTAGATTGAGTGATTCAATCAATGAATACACAATTTTCAAAAAAACAAGCTATGCAAATCTTTGCTTTGTAAGCATTGATATTTCTCAACAGACTGATAAACTATAATAAACTATTGTCCAACATTAGATTGATAATATTTTTAGATTGATAGTCCAACACAGTTGTATTGATATAATTGAAACTATCCGACATTAAGTTATCAATGCGACATTAAGTTGAACAAAGTTAAAAACTATATATAACGAATATTTAAAGTAAAATTTTTTTGCAAACATCTGCAAATTCATCCTTCAACTTTATAAACAGCATTAAATCTAACTCCTGACAAGCATCTGTTATGTAAATCTAGTTACTGACAAGTATAATGTATAAACAAGATTAAATTACAACATATTACATATAATACTACATATATGCTTGTTTACATTTACATTATTCACCTTTAAAAGTAGCTTTCAAACTTTATAGTAAATGTATATAAAATGTTGTACCAGAATATTTGCACAACTTTTTTACCTTTAGCGAACCTGATTTTATTGGAGTTAAATCTAAGAAGTTTGCAAGTTTTTCTCTCTTTTCAAAATGAAAAGAGGGAAAACTAAAAGAGAATCATTTATTTTATCTTCTGGTGGGAAGCAGTTAAAGAATACTGGTAACCAGTTAAAGAATACTGTCGGATGATTTAATAACAAGAGAAAAAAAAATGTTTCCATTATGATTTCTCTTGCGGCAATTTTATAAAGTTTAATGTTGTGATGCAAACAAATTTCAAATTTTTATTACACCACTAGATATAAATCTGAAATAGCACTTCACCACAATAGTTTTTAATACTTTACCACAGTAGTTGTGTACAGTGTTGTCAAATTTTTGCTATAGTGAAAGATGTAAAAAATTTTTTAGAAAGATGAATCAAAGAAACAAAATGTAAAATTTTCACAAAACGTAAAATTTTCAACAGCTTTAATCTGAAGAGTACTATTGCAGTTTTTTCAAATCATCAGTCATCGAAGCCGCAGTTAACTATAGCTGGCCTCCCAAGCAACTTTAACTATAGCTGACCTCTTTAGAAATATTTGAAATACCAACCGTTTTTTATGTCTATTTCTTGACTTGTTTTTCAAGTCCATTTCTTTGACTCTTTTTATGTCTATCTCTTTGACTTGAATTAAGTTATTTGAAAATCGAAGGCACAATTGAAAAAAATTAATATTCAAAAAATGTATAAAAAATCAAAGTAACAATGCTGTTGAAATACTTTTCAACAACATTTGGTTTCAGCAAAATAATCAACCAAACTCTCAATCTTTTGCTCTTGATCCCATTTAGCTGAATGACTATCTTCTGAAAAGTTCGTAACATAGCACTTTAAAACAGTTGCAGTAAACATAATTTTTACTTGATGTTTTTGGAAAGAATGATTTAAATCAGGTCCCGAGCGTTTACTTTCCTCTTCTTATAGTCAATCAAAATGTCTAATGTCTTAAGTCTAATGAAATTATAAGAAAGTTTTGCATAGTTGCATGCAGAATTACATTGGTTTCAGAAGTAGAAACAAAAAAAATCAATGATACAGATAAGGGTTTTATATCTAAAATAGTATTCAATTTTCCTGATGAAATAGATTTGTCTTCTTAGTGAATCAAGTTTATAAACAGGAAAATTGCAAACCATCTAATTTCTCAGGAATGTGTTTGAAAAACTCATGAAACGAGGCAAACAGAATACTTTAAAATTTAAAAAACACTTATTTCAACATTTTATAAAAATAAAGATTGTTTTTTAAAATAATTTCTAAACTTACATGATTAAAAAAGCTTCCAATGTTTTTCTCAATCATTGTTAACAGTGAATAATATATTTATATAACTGTATAAAATATAATTTATAACAATGAACAATGAGTTCAAGATGGAAAAGTTCAAAAAGATTAAATAACAGCCTTTAAATGCTGCCATACTGAGAACTTCTAATTTGCTATAGCTGCATTATTTTTTGCTCTTAGATATTTAATTTTTGCATGGTTATATTTATCCATAGCTGATATTTTATTGCAAAGCTAATCTATTAAAGATGATGTTTTGTCAAACATAATACTTTTTTATTTTTTAAAAGCTATTTTATTAATATCAATATAAGTGTTGTATTAAATAACAAAACTTTGTTTGATTTAAAAAAGCAGGCTAAATTTTATTTATACTAGATTTTTTATTTTTGTTCTTTTCTATTTTTTGTTGTTAAAATATTCTTTTTTGTTTTGTTTTTTGTTTAAATGTTCTTTTCTATTTTTTGTTGTTAAATATGGTTTATTATGCACAAGTCGTCCTTGAAATCCTTCTTGGATATGAAAGAACTTGCAAACACTTGCATACCTACAAATGTTTGCAAGTTCTTGTTTGAAAACTTTCATAAGCTTATATAACTTAAATATATTTAACAGAAGTAAAAATTTTTTAAAAAATGGAGGCAAATCTAACTTTCATTCGTCATAAAAAATGTGTTTTATAAGGAAACTTATTAGCACCACAATGCAGGTAACTTTATTTCTCCTGAATAATTTTAATCTGGAATAGTATCTCTTCTTGCTATACAATGCATTCTTTATTGTCTAGCAGGCAGTTGATTAATTTCACCTTGCTCGTAAACTTGCATGGCAGTATTTCTTTCATTTTGCAGATGATTTATTTCATCATGCGAATATATGTATGCAAGTGTTTGCAAGCTCTTTCGTATCCAAGATAGATTTCAAGGACGACTTGTGCATAATAAACCATATTTAACAACAAAAAATAGAACAGAACATTTAAACAAAACAAAATAAAAAAATAGAAATAAATATTTAAACAACAAAAAAGGTTGTATTATTTGTTATATGTATTATTAAAAATCTTGAAATTCTCTCAATCTAATATGAGTGGGTCAGAAGCCAAGGGGTACAAGTGATTTTACCAAATTTTACCAAAATTAAGTTAAGTATCGAATTTGATAGAAGAAGCAAACAAAATTGTTGGTGGCCAAGGGATACAAGTGAATCTCTGCCCTGTGCTGCTTTCTACAGGAAAAACATAACAACAGCTGTATATATTTAACAAAAATACTTTAACTTTAAACAGCTGTATCTCAAAACTATGAAAATGTCACTTGTACCCCTTGGCTTCTGACCCACTCATATGTATTAATCATGAAAAAATGTAATCTATGTAAAAGTAAAAATTAACATACAATTTAAAAGTGATTGTGCATTTTTTGAAGATATTTTTCGCTTTCGCTTTCTCAAAATAAAATTTTCAAATAAAAATCCAACCAAAATTGATGATGTAATAAGCGCTATACTACACAACATGAGTTGATAATATAACAGTGAGTGGAAATCGAACAAACTTTTCTTCATATACTTCTGCAGATTTTTACTTTTCTATTTAAAAAATATATATCATTATTATTATATATATATATATATATATATCATTATTATATATATATATATATATATATATATATATATATATATATATATATATATATATATATATATATATATATATATCATTATTATATATATATATATATATATATATATATATATATATATATATATATATATATATATATCATTATATATATATATATATATATATATATATATATATATATATATATATATATATATATATATATATATATATATATATATATATATATATCATTATTTTATACATATATTAGGGTGTCCCAGCAGTCCCTTATATTCTAAAAAAGATCTGCTCATATTCTTAAAAATTGCTATTGGTTTTCACAAGCAACTCGGTTAAATTTTTTCAAAATTTTATTGGATTTAGGGGTAGCACTTACTGGGTTTCTAAAATAATAAAAAAAAAGTTTTTCAAAAAAATGTCATGTTGGGTCTTAAAGAGGCAAATTTATGTAAAAATTTGCAAAAAAACAATCATTTTATAAAAAAAGTATTATTTAAGATTTTTTTGGAAACTATTTTCAAAAAAAACTTCTTTAATTTTTAGTTATAAAAGCAACAAATCTTTTTTAGAATATAAGGAGCGGCTGGGACACCCTAATATATATATATACAAAACAAATATATATCCCTAGTAGCAACAAATATGTCTGATGTATTATAACCTTTGTTGCTTTACGCTTTGTCTTTCTAAAAAGTAGAGTTTTATAGTTTTAGGTTATATTATTACTCTTTTAAGTTTTTAAACCCACAAGTAAAAATACATATAAAATATCAAATATTATTTTGTTAATTTTGATTATAACTAGCTGTTGTTGTGTATTTGTAAAGATTGTTCTTAATTTTATCTATGTTATATAAAGCTGTAGTTTTTTTAATATTAGTTTACATCTTATATTTCTTTACGATGCACATATATTGTATAAACGTACCCAGTAAACAAAGATTGTTTTAAAATCGGTCAATATTTAGTCAAAATCAATAAAAAAATGGATAAATGTTTAATGACCTATAATCCACTAAAAATCAACGCTTGATTTAAAATGTATATTTCTTTTTTATATATACGTTTACTAAACATCGCTCTGACATTTAGAATATTGACTTACATTGTTCAAAATTGTAAACTTTTAGTTGACATTTAATAAACGTTTATTATATTATAATACAGTAATATAGCCATTGATCAGAAGAAACGCATAACAGTTTATGTCACTTAAGTCAGTGTTTTATAGACAGTTTAAATTCAATTTGTAAACACTAGTATGATTGTCTAATAGTACAATCAAGAAGTTTAATAACTAAATATTTATTTTTTCATTTCAGATGCATTTTAACTTAATTTAGTTACATTTGCTAAAGAAAATTGGTGGAACAGAGCTGGTAAAAACCACTGCATATGTTATGTTGTGATGTTACAAATTTTTTAATGTCAAAGATAAACATGGATGGTACAGGAAATTTTAGAAATTTCCATTTAGAAAATCCTCCATATGTAAAGTTGTTCTGTTTAAATCCAATTTTGATTAATGAATGTACATTTAAAATGCTAAATGATGTTTTGCAAACAGGTGCAAGATGAACAAGCAGTAGACAGTATTCTAGGAAGATTTTTGATAACGCATAAACCAGAGAAAACAGTGATCCAAAATATTTGTTTATGAGTTTATTAATTTTATTAGTAATCTTTGACTCAATCTTAATGTCAACATTTACTCTCTGCTAATGAGATTAAGTTTAAAAAATAATTTATAGAAATTGTTACTTTAAAATTTCCACTGCAAAAAGCTTGATCATTTAATTTTTTAATCATCAAAACATAAACAAATATAGTGCACAAATATTTTTTTTCTAAATCCCCAATATATGAAAACGTTTTATATAATTTTATAACTTTATATATAGTTTTATAGTATAAAAGTTTATAAACATATTAAAATAGTTATAAAAAAAATAAAAATAAGACCAGGTGTTATTTATAAATTTAGTTACTATTATAACTATATTTTATTTACAAATTTCTTATTACTTATATAAAGTTAAAAAGTTTTAACGTTATTTTAATTTATATTAGTTTTAAAACTTAAATAAATTGAAATTTACATTAACTAAACCAAAGAAACTATTAGACAAGGTCTAAAAGTTTAATATACGTTTACTTAGACTAAATCTAAACGCTTTATATGTGTTAATTAGACTAGATTTAAACATAAATTAGACAAAATCTAAATGCTTTATATATATATATATATATATATATATATATATATATATATATATATATATATATATATATATATATATATATATATATATATATATATATATATATATATATATATATATATATATATATATATATATATATATAAATATATATATATATATTCATATATATATATATATATATATATATATATATATATATATATATATATATATATATATATATATATATATATATATATATATATATATATATATATATATATATATATAATCCTATAATCGGCGTCTAAAATATGTTTGAATATAGACATTTTATGGACGTTTGTTCTAAACGTTAATCTGGATTTCATTCTAAAAGGAATTAAACATTCTAAACAAATTCGGAATATATTGTTGAAACGTTGTTTTGACGTTAATAGACATATGTGTGTTTGACAAGTATATAGTATTTGATTTAAAAAGATTTATTTTAAACTCCACTTGTTTTTTAATTGAATATGATATAAAAAAATATGTTGGTATTGTATTGCAGTTTATATGTAGCCAATATTGTAAATTAATATTGGCTATATATATCAAAATGTGAATGTTTTATATTGGTGCAATACTGTTAATAATATTTAGTCAGTAAAAGAACATTTTCGCTTACATTTTCTTTAGAAGAATATGTGAGCAAAAATGTGAAGAAAATGTGAGCGAAATGATATCTCCTTAACTTTGATTTATAAAATTTCAATTTTATAATTTCTTTTGTATATTAAATAGTGTTAAAACATTCATTGAACAACACACCTTAGCGGCCAAAGTAGTTAACTTGCAGCATTTCTGAAGTGAATCGCAGTATTTCAAATTTTATTGCACATTTTATTTTTAAATCTTTTCTGATTTTTTAATTAAAAATAAACAAATTAAAAATTAACAAATTAAAACACTTTTTAAATTTTATAGATATTATATACATAGCATATATTAGGATATTATATACTATAACAAACAACAGGGAGAGAATCTTTAAAATAGGAGAAAATTAGTTGCGCAAATATCATGATAGAGATACTTAAATTATTAAATGTGCTCAAGTAATTAGTCCTTTCTGTATAATTATGAGCTGTGGGTAGTCTGAAAAAAAATAATGGTCTGAAACTTAATAAAGAAAAAAGTTAATATGCCTGCTCTGCTACTCCAGAAGGTACTGCTGTAAAGCAGAAAAAAAAAAAAAAACCCATAGCTAGCATAACCTGTTAAGTTAGGATTTGTCATAATGGAGGAATAAAATACTAATTAATATATAATCTGTATATAAATATTAAATTGACATAAATAAAAGTTTGTGATAAATACTTTATTAACCTGGATGAAACATTAATTTTTACATTACTACATGGATTTAACTTTATTAACATTTTAAATCAGAGGAACATTGAGTTGATAGTTAAAAAAACAATGTTGCCTAAAAATGAGGAACAACTTCAGTAGAATTAATAACTATAGATGGAAATGTAGTTCAAGTTAAACAAGAATATACTTTATTTATACCAAGTTAATCAAATTGCATGTTTTCTGTTCAAGCTGCTACACAGAAAGGTGCAATTATTATTTTCAAAGGTAATTCAGGAAAGTTGATTGCTAAAAATGGGACAATATTTTCAATATATTAGAAAGGTAGATAATATTATCTATTCAAAACTTGAATAAGTAAAGTTCAAAAAGAAACCATTGATACACGATATAAAGTTCTAGGACTTTGTAATTTCGCAAATTTGAAGAAATTGGAATAACACCATATGAAACAAATCTAAAATCATATGATGAAGAACCACAAAACAAAATAAATTCAGATAAACTTTATTGAAAAATTGTAGGAAGTTTAGTTTATGCAATGATATATACCTTAGTCACAAAATTATCGCAAATTTTGTCAAAAACAAAAAACCAAGATTTGACAATGCTTAAACATGTTTTTTAATCAATAAAAGGAGACTATTCCTTAACTTTTAGAAAGTATTAATTTGAATGTACTTTGTAATGCTGATTAGGGAGCATCTTGCAATGATCAAAAAAATATTACTGGCTATTGTTTTATTTGGCTATTTGTCTTTACCAAAATGGACCGATTATAGCATTGAAATCTAGGAAACAAGCCTCTGTTTCTCTTTTAACATGTGAAGCTGAAGATATGGCAATATCTGCCACATGCCAAAAAGTAGCATACCCAATTCCTGAAAGATTTGTTTGTAGAAATTACTGAACCAGTAAATATTAAAAATGAAAAACAAGGTTCAATTGCTTTATCGAAAAATCCAGTGAAATATTTATGTGCAAAACATATTGGTATGCAATACAATTTTATAAAAATATAAATTTTATAATTTTATATATCTCCATAATGGAAAAATAATCTTGGAATATGTGCCATCAAACAAAAACTTAGAGGATATCTTTATTAAACCATTTAATAAGAACTCTATGAAAATATTTAGAGACTTTATATTTGGAACATAATTCAGTAATTGACTCCAAACTAAATTTTTGAAGATTAATAAATTGATTGTATAATGTTATAATTTTAGAATAACTACACCAAACATAGTGTTTTTTAAGTATTGAGAATGCTCTCATTACTATAAAAAGCAATATTTTGTTTAGGTAATGAGTTAATTTTGCAAATACTATTTCATTTTCATTGTCATCAACTTATTGAGTTGATGACAAAG